GCGGCGCGCGGGCCCGGGCGCGCGCCGCCGTCGGGCGCGATCGAGACACACAGGGCCGGGTTAGGAGGTCGGCGGCTCCAACAGCGGGGCGGGGTCCGGCGCGCGGCCGCGGCGCGCCGGCGGCTTCGGTTTCCGGGCGGCGCGCCGGCGCGCCTAGGCCGAGGAGGGGATCGCGGCGAAGGTGGACTTGAGCTGGAGGAGCGCCGCGGCCGCGGACGCGTCGAAGACGGCCGCGTTCTCGGCCTCGGCGCGCGGCCCCGCCGTCTCCCGGCGCGGCGCGCGCGGGCGCTTCGCGGGCCGGGGCGTGCCGTCGGGCTCTTGCGCCCGGCCGCCGGCCTCGGCGTTCTGCTTGCCGCCCGAGCTTCGTCGGAGCACGTGGCGGAGGTTCAGGATCGACTCGACGGGCGCGCCCTCGGCCGCGCCCTCGCGGCGGTAGATCGTCGTCTGGCCCGCCGTGCCGTTCTGGCGGTGGAAGCCGAAGTTGTTCAGCTGGCGCTGGAAGCTCGCGTAGCGCGAGTGGCGGAAGTACTTGGAGAGGAGCAGCTCGAGCGCGCGCGGGTTCGGGATCACGAGCGACCCGCCGTCGTAGATGATGGACTCGGGCTCGTCGACGAGCATCTTGTAGAGGGCCTTCGTGAAGGGCACGGGCGCCCGGGCGACGCGGACGGTCGAGGGCGCGTCCATGGGTCCGGCGCGGAGCGAAGGCGCGTTAGCCTTCTTTCTGACCCCGAAATCGGAAGTTTCGCCGGAGCGGCGGAGGCCGGCGAGTTCCGGCGCGGCGGCGGTCGCGGGACGCGCGGGACGCGGCGGCGGCCTCGGAGAGGCGGGGCGACGGCTGCGGGCGCGGTGTCGCACGCGCCGTTGCAGCGAAGACGAAGAGCGCGTAGCTGCCCGAAAATCAAGCTCGATTCCTCTTCGCGGCGAACGCGGACGCGCTTTTTGAAAAATCCGACCTAACTAGCCTCAGGGCCTTCGCGGCGCGCCGCCCTCCGCCGAAGATCTCCGAAGGCCGCGGCGGCCCTGGCGGCGGCGGCTCGGGCTCTCCCCCGAAGGCTCTCAGCGCCTAAGGTGCCCGCACGACGTCGTCAAGAGCCGTCGAGAGAGGTGTGGTTAGTTCGGCGCGCGGCGCTTCGAGTGCGGGGAGCTCCGGGCCCCACCGGGCGAGTCGTCCCCGCCCGCCGGCGTGACGGCGCCCGCCGGTGAGCCCCAGCCCGCGGAGCTCGTCGGCGTCTCGAGGAGGGACGGCCCTCCCGCGGCGCTGCCGAGGGACGCTGGGGACCCGAAGCTGAAGCCGCCGCCGGCGAGCGACGGCGCCGGAGGCAGCCCCGACGGCGTCGACGAGAACGAGAACGAGCCCGGCGACGGCGCCGCGCCGGCGGCCGCGCCAAAGGGCGACGGCGCCGCGCCGGCGGCCGCGCCAAAGGGCGCCGGCGCCGCGCCGGCGGCCGCGCCAAAGGGCGACGGCGCCCCGCCGGCGGCCGCGCCAAAGGGCGCCGGCGCCGCGCCG